TTGAATTCAGCATGGGTCAAGGGGCAAAAAAAGGGTAGAAGGTCACTGCATTTTGATTATGGGTCAGTAAACAACATGGCATGTAGTATGTGTCCAGAAACTCCTGCTAAAAAGTATTTTAAAACTACCAGGAGTATCAAACTCAAGAAATAGTCTTAGCCCGTGGCGATTATAAATTGCACAAAATGCAAGTGACACCCCAGCCCCCACGGAAAAAACACACCTTAAAAAGCACTTAGCAGAACTCTGCATTGCTGCTTTGTTTACCAAAAAAAAAAAAAAAGAAAGAAAAAAAAAAGGGGAAAAAACCCCAAAGCTGAAACTCCTAGGCATAAGAGTGTTAGACAGATTATGATTTTTTTCAAAATGATGGTTGGCATTTCTTTGTCCTACACATTTAGAAGATTTACTTATACATTCTGATTTATTGTCATACTAGAATTTACGGCAAATTTTAGGTACTACAGTCACATTTGGCTGACTTTAAAATAGCAGAAGGATCCTATTATACTGTTCTTTGACCCTATTATATTTATGTTACTGGACTCTTTGTGATAGCCCCTAGCTGCTTTCTGTGTCCTCCTTGAGCAAAATATGCCCAGCAATATCTAAAAGCAAGGTATAGGGTTAGAAAACAAGTTGTCATTCGAAGTGTATATTTCTGCCCAGCATCATGAAAGTAAAAGGTTTATTTAATGCTTGTCAATGCCCGAAGACATGGTCCAGCACTTAACAAATAATAATAAATAATAATAATGCTCTAATAATGTGGCAATCCTAGTGTGAAAATGCATATGACCTCTTAGGTTTTCCCGAAGATTTTCAAAAGAATTCTCCCCGTCAGTACAACTGCTGGTGGACATCGCTGTTGCATTTCCCAGCAAAACGTTTAAAAGACTGTAAATGGTGTGTGCGTTACTTCATTGCAGAAGGAAGAGGTCAGGCTGAATTGCACTGGTATTTAAACATAATCATACTATGAAAATAAATCAAAACATCACGTAAAAGGAGTATTTTAAATGTTACATCCATTTTCTTTCTGGAACGACGTGGTTAAGCACTTCCCCGCGAGCACATATATTTTAGCACAAGTTTACAAAAATGAAAGTATACGATTTCCAATAAATGGGAATAGGTCTACAGCGAGGTATTATGAATATTATTTTGCTCTTTCTTTTCTAATGAGGTTTATCCTTCGGCCAGACAGCTTCAAGACTGAAACACTACTGCCTATAGAGTGTAGATTGCAGATTGCACGCTACTCAACGTGAAAAGGAGCACGTTTGATTGATAGTCTCTGTGTGTGTGCGCCTATACACACAACTCTCTGTAGTTGCATGTATATGTATTTGGCAAAACCGGGCATCTCTGGGCGTCCTTATCGTAAGAAATGTGAGACAAACATCCAGCCCTTTAATCATGTTCATCTTTGATCACCAGCGAGGGTGACACAGTCCACAAAATTAACAAAGAAACTCCCTTGCTTTTGAGAGATAGCTACATATACATCTGGGGCTGCACACACATGCACGACATACACACGGCCACACGAACACGCAGGCACACACCCCGGCTCCCCGTAAGTAAATTATTGCATAACTTTTCACGTAATTGATACCAGACACCTTTAATTTTTCATTTTCATTCTTTTGGCCAGCTTTCGCATTAACAATCTAAGCCGTAAATGTTGGTGGCTATTGATCGCAATCCCCTGTGTGCGTGCAAATCCATTTTCAAGTCCCCTGCCTTTAATGTGCGTGTGCGTGTGCAAGGGGCCTCCGCCGGCTCTTTAGGAGGATCTCCCCCCAGCCTGTTTGAAGACGACCCCGGATACACAACGTGTGCTGATGGCCAAGGGAAAGCGCACACACACACTCACACTCACACACACGCAAACAAAACCCCCCAAACAAACGATGGAGAAGTAGAGAAAGAGGGGTGAGATGCGGAGAAAGATATGCAGCCGAAGGCGGGTGTAAGTATACGGTGGGGATGTGTAGGTTGGGCGTGTGACATTTCCCCAAGACTTCTGGTGGCTTTTCTGCCTGTCGACATTTGGCTCTGCCACGACCCCGCCGCTCATGGCCGCACCTTTGGGGGAAACCGAGGTTTGCCGAAGAGCCGCCACCAGTTTTAACCGTTTGGTAGAGCCGGAATCGAACCGACCAAAATAACGCATTTTTTAAATAGTTGCCGAATCCCACTGCCAGGCTGTCACCGGCGCGACGTGGGCGCGGGTGCGTGTGCCCGCGGCTCCCTGCGTGCGAACGCACGCGTGGATTTACACGGGGAGCCAACTCAGCTGAACTACCTGGCGAATAAAGGACTTTTCGGCCCACGGGGGCTTTTAGTAGCCTCTTCTGAGCGGCTTTCTCGGAGTTTACTGTTCCTTTACTGTCGACTCCATAGCCTTAACCTTAAAGCAGGGGGAGGAGAGCAGCGGGGAGGGGGTGGGGGTGTTGGCAGCATATAAGTACATCAGGAGGAATTTTTAAACGACCTTATTGTCTCTAGCTCTAGAAAGGCTCCGATGATTTCTTTTTAGCGCCAGCAGCTGTTTTCTCTCGAAACTTTGCTTTTAGCCCCGGCGTAGAGCGGGGCTGCCTCTCACAGGAGAAAAAGGAGAGGCTGGGGGGGATCCAGATGCGAGGCGCGGAGGGGAGGCGAACTCGGCGGATGGTCTGAGCCGTGCCGAGGCATTGTTCACCGCTGCCTCTCGGTTACGTTTAAAGGCTGAAATATCACGAGATCCACTCAATGATCCTTTTCTAATTCGAGGGACAAAATGTAATTTGCCGTAGCTCTGCTCGCTCGGATGGGAATCCTATCCCTGGGTTTCAAAGGGAAGAACTAGGCATCGCGGTTCGCACACACATGGATTAAGTTGAACAGCGGCGATTACATCTGCGCTGAGAGCAACAGTAGTCCAGGGCTGACTTTTCCAATCTCAGCCCTCCGAGTTAGAGGCTCCCTTGAATAGACTTCCTCCATTCCCGGATGCACTTCTCCAAATTCTCACTTCTCTCTAGAATTCCTGCGAATTTGGGGGCTCGCCTGCATTTCGCCTTGGCGTGCAAAGCTGCTTTTTTCACAGAGCGATTATGCGCTTTATTTTAGCTGTACCTGACGGGGTAACACGAACTCCACGCACCATATTGCCAATACGCGGAGCGGATATTGACGTTTGGGACTGAAGATTTTCACATATTTTTTTTATTTTTTTTTCTCCTCCGTCGATTTTTTTGCCAAGTCCCAGAAATATGAGATGTCTCATTAATCTCGAGGATCTGTCTAATTCTGGATGTGCGGTGATACATAAAAGTGCTCGTGTTTGTATCCAGCGGAACACTGGACGCTCGGCAGAGATTGGTGATTTTTTTTTTTTGCAGCGTCTAACGTGCAAACCGCAAGCAGCATCACTTTAACGTGACAAGGGAGAGGCATGCAGTTATCGCAACATTTGCGAAACCCTCGGTCCTGACACTCGACTAATTTCACGTTCCTAAGAAGAGGTTAAACCTTCATGCTGCTTCTTCAAACTGATTTTAAGGGGCTGCTATAAATGGAACATCAAAAAGCTGCGGCAGGGCTACTCCGAGCGGAATATGCAAACTGCGAGCCAGAAGCATCCTAGCCCGTTGCAATATCGCAGATTGTGTGTGCCAGCACTTTTTTGTTATTACGTAAAGCCTCTTGGAAGCACCTTGGATATTTTACATTCTCCTTTCTCTGCTGGAAGCAATCAGCGCGCAGGAATCCTGACGTGGGCTCTGGGACTATAGGACATTCCAGCTCGTGATCCAGCACGGTTAATTGTGAAAAGTGTATACATTTCTGGCTTATCTATGCTTTGTTATGGGTCTGACGTGAGCCCACGTCCTCCTCCTCCCCCCTCCCGCAATATTCCGGGCAGAATTTCAGTTAAAAGTGTTACAGTATCACGGTGCGGGAACCCGCGATATTCTGAGAGCTAAATAACCTTAGTCCCCGGCTGTAAAAAGCTAATTAAGCAGAAGAGGAAAATCAAGAGAAACTCGAAAATGTAAGTATTCCCTCTCGTTAACAACCGAGCATTTAACTTTGGAGCCTCAGCAAGGGAAATACCAGGCTGTTCTGCACGTTTTCGCTAAGCTTCATTTTCCACACAATGCAGAATAAAATGCTAGTTTAAAGCGGCTACGTTACCGAAGGATTTTCCATCGCTACGATCAGACTTATGTCCTTTAAATTCACGGCATGCACAAAAGAGCAACGTTTGTCCAAAACAGGATAAAAATACACGAAACGATAGGGAAAAAAGCATGCAAATCCTTCCTCGGAAGCTAGCGACGAGGAAGTCTGAGAGGTCTGAGTGTGTTTGAGCTCGGATTGTTTAATAGAAAGATTTATATACTAACTGTATTATTTACTTTGGGAGGGGAGGTGGCAGTATAAGGGTATGCTAATTAGTGGGAGATTTTTTGGGGGAAGGGGTGGAATATCAATTTTTATTGCATCACCTGTCAGGAGTGTCCAATCAGCGTTGGCTTTAGGGGAATTAATTGATGAAGGTGTCTCCGGACGAGCTCACTTCACTCTGTCATTTTATTTGTAGCTAAAGCAGCGGCGGGAATAGCAGCTGCATTTCTTTTCTCTTCCTCCCTTCACATTCCATTATCATAGTTTCCAATGGAAAAGCAGGGAATGAAAGGGAACAGGTACTGATCTTCAGCAGCAACTTAGAGAAACACTTTGGCAAACCTGATTTTTAAGATTATATATTGATTGTAGCCTCACGGTATTTTTTTAATTTATTTTTTTAATTTTGTCTAAAGTTTGGCACTTCATTCACCAGGAATAACAGCCTTTGTTATATTTTATTAGCAGGATGCCTTGAGACAAATACAGCATCTGGCTGAGGATTGTGTGTGTGTGGCTTTTTCTTTTTTTTTTTTTTCCTTTTTTTTTTTTTCATATCTCTCTCTCTCTCTCCAAATGCTGGGAATAATTTAATTCACGAAATGGGAGACCTGAAGTCGGGTTTTGAAGAGGTGGATGGCGTGAGGCTCGGCTACCTCATCATTAAAGGAAAGCAAATGTTTGCACTCTCCCAGGTTTTTACAGACCTGCTCAAAAACATCCCGCGAACTACCGTGCACAAGCGAATGGATCATTTAAAAGTAAAAAAGCATCACTGCGACCTGGAGGAGTTGAGGAAACTCAAAGCCATCAACTCCATCGCTTTCCACGCCGCCAAATGCACCCTGATCTCCAGAGAGGACGTGGAAGCCCTTTACACATCCTGCAAAACCGAACGGGTCCTTAAGACGAAACGGAGGAAAATAAGCCGGGCGCTGTCAACCACCGACCTCCGGCCGGAGCTCGCACCCACCGACCCCTTCTCCGGCTTCTGGAAGGAGAACAAACTTTGGCTGGGTTTGAATGACTCTCCCCGGCCCCTGCTGCCCATCCGGAGGAAAGCTTTGCGTCCGGGGGACACAGCCTTGCTACCGGCCTCTCATCTACCTCACATTTTTAGTAAATACACTGGCCACAGCTACCCAGAAATCGCTCGGGCGCCTTGCAAACCCCCCGTAAACTATGAAAC